CTGGGGTCTCTGACGAAAATCAAATCAAAGCAAAAAGCGCTATCCTAATTGAACATCGGAACTAGTGGCAAATACCTTGTGAAAGGGTCCAGAAAGGACAGCTGTTACGCAGGGTTGTGGGGGTTTAAGGCCTACGTATGTGCAATCCACTTTACCAGCCATTAAATCTTCAAGGAGAGCTCGTACAACTCATGCAGGAGACGATACCCCATCTTTGTGTCCAGAATTCCTTGGAAAAACGAACAGACGTGGAGCGGACAGGAGGGTGGGAGAGGAAGCAAAAAGGGGAAACTCCGCACCCCATCCCAGCCCGAGCGAAATATCTTAAGATGGCACTGCTAGAAAATGGATTCCCCAACGGCAAAGTGGAAATTTCGTCCACATCAAAATGGTTGACCGGAGCAACCCGATGCTAAGCGCCGAGTGAGGTTTCATGACTTTGAAGAATTGTGGAGACAGTTCTAGGAGGGCAGTGAGGCTTCGATTTTCCCAGGAGACATTCTACTGCAGCACTGTTATTTCAGACCCCTCTGGTTTGCCCAGTTGAGTAGGTGATCATCCATCGTTTCTTTTTATGGCCCCGTGGGTGGTAACTATATCGGATACTAACAGCGAACCAATAATTTTATACTACAGGGACGACAATCCCCCCTCCCTTCCCCCCTTGTAGGTCGCAACTGCCAGCGGTATCTATACCTGATAAGGTGCATCCCCACTCGGATGGATGGACCCCCTATCGCAAGCGATAACATCCTACGCTTCTCGTCTACTCAGATCTGGCCTTGCTCCCTAACTGCATGCACCACCATCCACGCCATTAGCACTTACACGGGGGGAGTAAGTTAGACAATATACCTATCCCTCACCGCTTAACTTCAAGGGTGGCAGACCAGACTGGCATATCAGTGTGGATCTGATTCAAATTCTCAGCCCCCTAACATACCCAAGGTAGAAGTGAGATATCAGGGATTAGCAAGACAGTGTGAAATCAAGATACAATGAGATCTTGCCACCAATACAACAATAAGAGTATCCCGCTTTGCACTTCACGATTGCCAAATCCAATATCCATGATGCTGAGAATTAAAGTATGCACCTATTTCATCCTACTGGAGCGAGAGGAACGCATATGCCGGGCAATAGAAGCCCTAAAAACAGGAAAGTATACATCCCTGGGCGAGGCTGCTGCTGTATTCAATAACCCTGGGTCCACCCTTCACCATCACATGAATGACCACCAAACATGGCAGAAGGCCCATGAAGCAGATCAGAACTTCTCTCCGGCTGCCGAAAATGGGATTGTGCAGTGGAATTTTAAGCTAGAGTTGCATGGATTCTCCCCTCACTTAGATCAGGTATGGCAGATAGCACAGAGTTTAGTGGTAGAGAAAAGAAAAACTCTGAGAGGACATTATGAATGAAAAGGGAGAAACAATGCAGTTCATGATGCATTAGGCTGAAATTGGATAATCCAATTTCTCAATCGGCACCAAGATTTAGTCACTAAATTTGCTGTCAGAATGGATAAACAGTGAGTCTATACAAATGATTATACTACCATAAAAGACCACTTCCCAAAGCTAGAAAAGGTGCTTATGGAGAATAATATCAAAGTGCACAACATTAGTAATGTTAATAAGAAAGGCATTATTTTGTGCAACTAGGCAAAGACCAAGGTTATCACACAATGCGGTAAGAAAAATCCTTATGTCAAACAGAATGGTAAATGCAAGATGGTTACCTTAATAGAAGTGGTATCAGCCAATGGTTTTGTCTTTCCAACCTTTCTAATCACTAAGGAGAAGGTTCACACATATGGCCAATTTGTTAATATTCATGAGGCCAATAAGGAGGTGAGATTTGGGAAATCTCAAGAAGGTTGAATGGATGAGGAGCTAGGCTACTATTGGTTAATGACAATCTACCATCCTTTGAGCTGGGAAAATACAATAAGCTTGGGAAGTCTGAATGATAAGCGTCTCCTCATCCTCAATGGCCATTTATCCCATGTAAACCTATGGTTTAGCGAGTTCTGTGATGCTCACAATATCATTTGTTTTTGTTTACCAGCTCACTCAACACATCAACTTCAACCCTTAGATGTAGGATTGTTTGGCCCCCTGTAGATGCACTATGGCAAGGCAATAGAAAACTACCATAATATAATCAACATTAGTATAAGCCATTGCAATTTCCTTCCCCTCTATCAGGAAGCCTGAGCACTGGCATACACGAAGTCAAATATCCAGAGTGCCTTCCGAAAGACAGGAATCACTCTGTTCCTACCCTGCATAGTACTACCAAAAAACGACCGCATATACCCATCCACAACCCACTCAGATAACTCCTTTCTACTCAATAAAATGCTCTATACAAAGTGCCAACTATGGTAATAAATCCTTCAAGCACTACATTTCATGAAAACAGCAAGTCCCAGGCAAATTTGTAACTTGATTTTACGCTTTTTCCATACAGCAGAGTTGAACCTCACTGCTACAGGTATTACTACAACCGAGATGCAGCGGCTGCAAGCCGAAATCAAATTTACCAATGATGTGAAAGAAGATTGCCGAATCCTTAGCCAGGTAAGGGTTATCACTGGGGCAGAGGCCCTGCGGATGCTCTACGTTCACATCTGCTCCGCGACTTGTCCGT